TTTCCTTTCTCTGTAAAAGAAAAGGGTTGGATTAGATGGTCTCTAAGGCCTCTTTAAGCTTTAAATTTATGATCTTGGGATCTCATAAGGAAGAACATGATTTTCCAGGTGACAAAACACAGGTATGGGTCACTCACAGAATATAGAGTCTGTCCCTGGAGATAAAGGAGAAAAGACAAAGGAAATTTTATTTGGAAAATAAAAGACCATAGCAAAGGTTTTAAAAAGAGAAAAAAGCCTGCTGCATGCTGCATGCTGGTTAGCTTCCCAGAGGACTTTGTTAGGGAGATTCAATGAAGCATAAATGTTTGGATTTTGCATGGATAGGAACCAGCCTAGGGGGAAATGTTTTTTTTTGTTTGTTTGTTTGTTTGTTTTTTGTAAGGCCATGGCCAGGACCAGGACCACTGACAAAGATGTGAAGTCAGCAAAGTTTATTTCTAGTCCACCCCATATTCCCACCATTTCCTCCCTTTCTAACATTTCTTTTTCTTTCTTCTTTCTTTCTTTCCTTTCTTTCTTTCTTTCTTTCTTTCTTTCTTTCTTTCTTCTTCCTTTCCTTCCTTCCTTCCTTCCTTCCTTCCTTCCTCCTTCCTTTCTTTCTTTCTTTCTTTCTTTCTTCTTTCTTTCTTCTTTCTTTCTTTCTTTCTTTCTTTCTTTCTTTCTTTCTTTCTTTCTTTCTTTTTTTTTTCTGAGAGTTAGCTAGGTGGCTCAATGATGGAGCCTCAGTCCTGGAGTCAAGAAGACCAACTGAAATTCAAGTGTGGTCTTAGATACTTACTAGCTATGCAACCCTGGGCAACTACTCAACCCCTGTTTGCCTCAGTTTCCTTAACTGTAAAATGAGGATAAAAACAGCACTTATCTCACAGGATTGTTGTGTGATTCAAATGAGATAACAATTATAAGATATTAGCACAGTACCTGGCATATAGTCAGCTCTATTTAAATGTTAGCTATTGTTCTTTGCTCAGGTTTCTAGTGAACTTATGCTTTTCATGCCTTTGCCTGACAGAGAAGAAAGTGATATAATAAACTCATTCACACAACACATTAGCCATTTTATATCTATTCCTTCTTAGTGTGTTTGGTATATTCTAAGAGGACTGGATAGGAAAAGCAGTGCTTTGGCCAAAGGAATGAATGTCCAATGATAGACTTTCAGAAGTGGAAAGATAGTATTCTGGGAGGGGAGTCCATTCAAATCTCATCACACTGGTTATCCTGTCTTTTCTAATAGTTAAGGCCCCTTTTGAACAGAATTTCATATTTCCATGGGTGATACTGAGCACAGAAGTATACGCATGATTACTTCTCTTATGAGAAAACGAGCTTGACACAAATCCCACAAAATTGAGTGCAAACAGTAGTATCCTGGGAAGACTGAATTATGCGTATATTAGAAATAAAGTTGGGAAAAAGGAAAGTGTCAATACCAAGGATATTAGAAAATCATCCAGTGGCCCAGAACAATTTATGTGATTCCTAATTAGACACAAAGAAAGCATCAGAAATCACAGTAGCATTTCCTCTCAGACAGCATGGGTTCTATCATCCCCCAGAAAACACTGGACATGCTTCAGTGAAATGGATGGCTAACAAATAAAAATCAAAATTTAAATCTTACCCCATGCAGGGAATACCAGGCCCAGTCCTCCATTAATTCCACTACCCTCCCCCCATGAGTGCTCTGATCATCATTTTCATGGACCAACATGTACAGAAATACTATCAGAAACAACAATGGGGTTCTAGCTCCTTATTAACACAAGTGCATTATCATCTGGTCTCTTTCAATCAGAAAAATCATGGGCTATTTTTTTTTCAAAATAGAAAAGTTGGGGGTCCTGTATGGTGAAGTGAGCCAAGGGAGATGGGAATGACTCATTATACCTTATATCACTAAAATATTACCTTTTAAGACTAAAAACCAGATGTCTCTTGAACACAAATATGGTGAGGAGTAAGAAAGGCAGGCAGGTCTTCAGTGAAAGAGGTCCCCTTTGATTGCTCTGAGAATCTGGCTACAAAAATCTCATCTGCCTTTTTTCTTACCCCTCATTTCACTACTAGGCATTGTCTGACCTTAATCAAGCCAATTATCCAAACTTATCTTCTGCTCTATACCAATTTGTGTTTTCGGTTCCAGGCCAATTGGTCTTTTCCTATTCTCTATACATGGCGTACTTATTTATACCTTTGTGCATTAGCTCATGATGAAAACCTTTCTTCCTTCCTCTCTGCCATTCCCACAAACCCATGACCCATAAGGGGAAAAAATACACATACACACGTATATATTTCATATATATGAAATTTTAGAGGTTATCTATTATAATCCAAAGCAAGCATTTGTCCTTTGATCTTTGACCCGTGGTTTAAACCCAACCTTCAGGCTTATCTCCTTTGTGTTAATTTCTTTGGTGACCTGAAGTCATGCAAATCTCTCTTTTCTGAAACTTTAACTGTGCTTACTGTTCTGCAGAATCCAGAAATCTATTTATTGTATGCCATTTTATCCTTCTCTAATTATATATGTATGTAAATATACACATATATGTATGTATATGTATGAGTATATATACATGTATAGCTACATGTGTATATATGCATATATATATATACATATATACACACATATATATACACACATACACACACACACACATACACATATATATAAACCTGGTCTCCTCAACAAGATTTCAAATTTCTCAAAGGTCAGAACTATTTTTCCTACTGTTGTATCCACCACAATAACAAAAATTATATTGTTATTTTTCTTCTTAATACGTGTATATCATCTGATTTCTCAGCCAGTGTGCAAGCTCCCTGTGTCTCACCTTGCATATTCTTTCTCTCCTTTGCCCAACACAATGCCTAACACATAGTACTTAATAAATCTTTATTGATGAATTGATGATGAGCACACAGGAGGTTCAGTACATACTTGATGGCTTCTCTTGACTTCTAAGAGCCACACAAGGATGCATTGATATTTCCCATCTTCGAAATATGCCACAGCTATAAGTGTTGAGGTAAAGAGAAAGAAAGTGGCCTCTTGACTTAAGGAATGTTCTTAGTAATGCCTGTCAAGACATGGCAACCTACATCCCATATAAGATGCCTGGCAGGCCTCATGTAAGAGGTTTTCCCATTAAATAAATTCTCCACTCAAAAGGTTATATTTACACAACTCATTAGGCATCTTTTTTTATGCTTTTGACACTCATTAGACTCATAATCATCCGATGAAGCTACTCTATAACAAGAGCTAAACATTCCATTCTAGAAGATGAATAATAATTAGCTACTGCTCGGCATTTTGCTCCTTAGCAGGTCTAATTTTAGAGCATAATTAATCCTGCAGAAGCCGCATAAGATAAGTGAAATATTTATGCAGCTGTGTTAATTCATGTATTTACTCCTAGGGAGACATTCAGAATTGGACACAGCTTTCAGAGAAGATTATCTTAAGATGCCCCTTGTACCAACATCATTTCCTTTCCTGTATGCCTGTCTCCAGCTGACTTCCACATGTGGAGCCAAGAAGACATCACCTCTCACCAGGAAACTCCAAACCCCATTTTCTGGCCTACAGGCAGAAAGCAACTATTTGAATAAAAGCAATACATTACCCTGCTTTCCATGCTGTACGAATATAGTGAGCCAAATTGTGGTCTTTCTCAACATTTACATTCTTCATCTTCCTTTTTTCCATAATGGGCTACTGGTTTTGTTTTTGTTTTTGTTTTTGTTTTTGTTTTCTACTCAACAACCTTAAGGGTTTAGCTGACATCATTCTGAGGACAGTGGACAAAACATGGTGGTAGTTATTCAGTTTTGAAGCTACATATGGAGTCTTCTTCACTTGAGGACTTTAGGAATTGGACAGACAACTTCATTCTCACATAACTTGGGTAAAGACCTTTTTTTTGGAAATGAGATTAAATTCTTCTTCTTCATTCCTTTCAGTACACAAGGACTCTGGAAAGTTAAACATGTCTTTCTTATCAGCTTTCACAGGGAAAAAAGCTTAAGGATTTCAGTGAGGTGGGACCTATCAAATGGTCACCCAAGAAGGGTGAGTTAGAATTTGATTTGGGGCAGAGGAGATGGGCAATCATTGGATCATGCCCTTAGAAGCTTCTAGACACACTTTGAAGAATCTTTACAAGGCAAGTAATCTATGCTAGTTAAATACATTGTCTAATTTATGGGTTAAGTATTTTTAGAATTTCTGCCATGAAAATTTAATGCATGAGCCTGGTATGTAGGGGTGGGAGGAAAAGTTAAAAAAAAAAAAGAATCATCCAAGCAGCTGAACTGCAGAGCACAGGATATTTATTTAGACTCTGCTGCTAGCTTGAACTAACGACCATATCAGAGACCTCAGCCATGGAAGGAATCTCCAAGGTGATCCAAAGGAGGAGAGCTGGGAGACATATCCTCAAGCCTTTACTCAAGAGTTCTTGAGAAGGAAGGAGACTTAGAGATTATCTACTTCTCATTTTAGATTATTTACATTTAGACTACCTACTCTCATTCTGCAAATGAGGAAACTGAGGCTCAAAGAGGGGAAAATATTTGGCTGGCATCTCTGTTAAAAAGGGGGGGGCATTGGTTTTTCCCCTCCCCTCATACACATGCCACTTATATTTCTTTTGAAGTATTATAATCTTAGAGTTGGAAGTTCAGTTTAGAGATAATTTAGTCCAATCCTCTCATTTTATAGATGAAAAAATTGAAGACATAAGAGGTACTGTGGTACTAGTTTAATTATTCAGGTTCTAGTTAGCAGCAGAGCCTGGCCTAGAATTTGGATCTCTTCATTTCCAATTCAGAACTCTTTGTATTACACCACTGCACCTTTCAGTTTTTTTGAGGAAAAAAAAAAGATGTCCTACCAAGGCCTTCAGAGACTCATTAGGAAGTCAATTAAAAACCGCTAAAAAACCCAAAGAAGAATACAACAAAGGAAGGTATAGCCCAGTCCCTACCATCACCAACAAACTGAAGAAGGGCCAGGTCGATCTGCCTCTTCCACGGGGAGCCTTTCTGGAGGGCAATGCCATACCCAGTGGTAGCGAAGATATAGCCACTCCCAATTGTCACCAGTTTGCAGCCTTCATCTCTCCCAGCCTTGTAATTCAGCACTGCAGCATCATAGATGAAAGCATCCAACTTCCTGAAATGAAAAGGGAACATATTGATAACATGAACCACCAGGCTGCCATCTCTGCTCCTTGATGCTGGGTCCCTATTGAGTGTCATCCCAAGTCTTTGATATTGGAGATGATGACTCACAGGTTCTGAATTCCCAAGTCATGAAAGGATCTATTTTTAATGAGAAGATAGAAGCCAGAGTCTTTGCTTTCCAACTTACAAAAGGCAGCTAAACAAAGACATAAAAGATCCACATATTCAAACTAGTAAATAACCAAGTCTGCTGGCTTGTTAAATGCATGTCCTTAACAATCAAAATACCAGTGAATGACTTTCTATTTCAGAAAGTTGAAATGGTAATAAATATGCAATCAGATGCAGTAGAATTGGGGGGAAAGGGAACTAAATGAGGGGCATTTAAAAGAGTTAAGGGAAACAAAGTCAGAGTCTTCTGATTTCTCAGTCCTTTCTCCACATCAGTCTCTCCCCCCTCATCCTTTTGACAATTAAAAAAAAAACAATAAAGGGAGACTGAATAATAGAAATAGTGGAGAGATAGCACAGGATACCACATTCTGTCAGAAACAGCTGCAAAGCCGTTCTCTTTGGAAGACAGCTCTTTGGAAAGGCTGTAGCTATAAGCTTTTTATTTTTCTGGAAATTCAAGGGGAACTGGGCTCAGAGTCAAGGGTAATTGGGGACTGTATAGGGATACATGACTATAAGTCTCTATCCTAAAGCCCCATGAGTGATCATTCCAGACTACAGAAAATCAAGGGCAGTATGAAAGCAATTCACAAAAATGGGAAGGAGGAATCATGTATGGTCGGATGTGAAGGACACTAGAATCAGATGGGACTGGGACTGCTAAAAGACACAGCAATCTAGGATCAAAGAAGGTGGGGCAAATATTCCTATGTAACTGTAAGTCTATGATTAGAGCAGTAAAAAACAATTTTCTAAGAAGGCAGAGAAATGTTGTGATTCAGAAGCATATGGGACTTGGAGTCAGGAGAACCATGTTCTTCTGAAGTCCTGACTGTTGTTATTTGTCCTTCATTCTCAAAGAGAACCATGACATCAAGAAGATGATGCTATGACTTGCAAGAGAATTGGATTTAAGTGAGGGAGGGATGTGCAAGGTCACCAGCCTCACTTTCTCCTCCAGAGCCATCTGGGTCCAGTGGCAAGATATAGATCAAGACAACTGGAAATGGCTTTGCCTGACTCTGTAACTATTAACTAGCTATGTGACCTTAGTCAGACCACATCACCTCTTATGCCTTCAACTTTTTTATCTATAAAATGAGAGAATTGGACTAAATTACCTCTAAACTGAACATCCAAATCTAACACTATGGTACTTCAAAAGAAATAAGAGTGGCATGTGTATGAGGAGAGGGGAAAAACCAATGCTTTTTTCCCCTTTTTAACAGAGATTTGTATTATTTATAGTAAGCACTTAATCTGTCTATCTAGGGTCTTAAACCTTTCCCCTGCCTATTAATCTACCCACAATGATGGAATTCGGCAGAATGAAAAATAAACTTTTGTAATGAATATCTGAAAATAGGTTCTGGTTTAAACTAGAAGTTGAATTTGATGTTTTCAGCACTAACATAGATTTTTGCAAGTCAGAACATAGTTCCTTGACAACCCATCTTTCGTTGATATCAATCAGAGGAACAGGAAGAATAAGATGTTTTCCTGGGAAATATGTGAAGATTTTAAAAAGTACAAAGCCAGTAAGGCTTAGGAGGCAATTCTAGAGGAAACTGTCATTTCTGGTCCAAAAAATTATAGTCATGCCATAGGATGGACAAGTCAACAGTAATACTTATATATAAGAGTAGGAATGGCAACCCGAGACTCAACCTCCCTAGCTGTACTTTCCCTGGTAACATTGTCCTATGTAGAAAATATTAGAGATGAATGAGAAGAATACTTATGGGATATCACAGAGCTATTCACCCAGTTTTCTGAGCCCACCAAATAATAATAGAGTGTCTGTGCCTAAAGTTATGACTATAAGGGAATGCAATTTATTCATTCAAATGAATTTTGTCCCCTTTAAAATAGTTATTTTGGTAGGCTATGTGTTTATTTAACGCTGATCTAAACATATTTGCAGCTTGACTTTGGGAAAGGGCCTGTTCTGGACACTTGAGAAACATTTAATAACTGTTCACAAGACCATAGGCTCATAGAATCATAAATTTAGAGCTTGAAGGGGCCTCAGATGTTGTATGATCATCATATCATGGATTTAAAACTGGAAAGGAATTCAGAGGTTGTATTTTACCCCCTCCCTGATGTAGGTTAGACTAGTTCTTCCCTAAAATGGTACTGAGGCATTTCTCAAGACTCAGTTGGCTCAAGAGACTAAGGGCTCAGATTATTTATGCCTCTTCCTCATCACCTAAGTAAAAAGCAACCATGAGGGTTAGGGGATGAGGAAGCAGTGCTCTTAAAAGTTTGTCTGGTAGATTACAATGGGTAATCAGGCAAAGAGCTTCATTCAATTGAAACAACTCAACATGTCTTCAATGTCTATACTTGTTCAACATCTCTCTCCTTCTATGACTAAGCAAATCTCAATAACTTATGAGAATCTCATTTTGTTCCAATATTGAATTTAAACTATCTGGCTGGAGTCAGGCCCAGACCAGAACACAGGTCATTTAGTGTGACACCTTTATTTTATTTTATTTTATTTTTATTTATTTATTTTGGGCAATTGGGGTTAAGTGACTTGCCCAGGGTCACACAGCTAGTAAGTGCCAAGTGTTTGTTCTGAGGCTGGATTTGAACTCAGGCACTCCTGACTTCAGGGTCAGTGCTCTATCCACTGTGCCACCCAGCTGCCCCTGACACCTTTATTTTATAGATGAAAATAATGAGATTCAGAAATCTTAAATGTCTTGCCTGAGGTCACAGATAAGAAGGGGCAGAGTCAAGATTTGAATATAGATCCTTTGACTTTGAATCCAGCACTCTATATACATAAACTAAGGATCATAGGATCACAGATTTAAAACTACTATCAAGTTCAATCATTTCATTTTACAGATGAATAAACTGAGATGTAAAGAGGTTATGTCCATCGTCACACAAATAGAGGTATGTTTGAAATCCAGGTCTTCTGAATCCTGAGTCAGGGCTTTTCTCTCTGCTTTCATCCCTCTGATTTTTTTAGATGAAGGAATTGAGGCCTAGAAAACTGAAATGACTTCCTTAAAGCCACATAGTTAATAAGTTCCAATGTCTGTATTTGAAACCAAGTTCATCACAGTCTATAGATCATTTTTTGAATGCTGTAAGTGGTCTCAAATCTTCATTTATTAAGGGAGACTAAGTTTTAGAAAGAATCAAAATTTTTTTGAGTCAAGTCTGGGGAATATGCTGAAGAGAGGAGGTCAAGCTGGGGAATGTTATGTTAAGTGATTAATGATGCATAGCTACAGTAAAATGAAACTAACTTCCTTGTGTTATTTAATAAACTATTACTGATATCAGATTTCCCCAGAGATGCATCTGAACTATTCTAAACAATGACAGGGGCATTATAACTAGGACGACAGCCTGAGTCTTCTGATGCCTGCCTTCATGTCCTTTCCACTACAGTGTGCTGCCTCTTCAATTAATGAACAGAAGATATTCCCAGGATTTTAATATTACCTGTTCTGGGAAAATATACAAAGACAACTATGTAAAAAAATTCTGCAAGACAAGGATATGCTTTTATTGTTACTTAATTACTGGGGTTTTCCCCAGTACTACCATAGCATAACTGCAAGAATTACCAAATATATTAGAGGGGTCACTATGTTCTCCTCCCAGGACTCCTAGATCAAAACAGAAATCAGAATTGCCTTGTTCACTGCCACTTACCTGATTTCCTTCAGGTCCCTGAGTGCAGGTGAGAAAAAATGATGGAGGGCACAGATTTGTCTTCTACATTTTCAAAGGACATCACAATAAGTGAGCATAGGTTAGGGGGAGAAGAGAAGACAAACCATAGGTTGGTCTGTTCTAGACTTGGAGCTTTAACTGAAACAAATGAGTGGTTCATGCGTAGGTGCCAAGACTACTCAACAGAACCAAATGCATTACAAAGAGACAGCAAAGTAGAATCAATCTGCTGTCTGACAAGCACTTAAAAGCACCTACTATGTGACAAGAGCTGTGTTTTATGCTGGGGCTAGACAGACACAAAAATGAAGAAGAAAATAAAATCCCTGCCCTAAAGGAACTTACAGATCAGTCAGAGGAGACAATATGTACAGCTATACAAAATAGATTCAAGGTGATTTGAGGGAAAAGAGGTGGGAGAGGAATTAGTAGTTGGAGCATCAGAAAAGGACTCACATAGAAGGTAGAGCTTGAGTGTAGCCTTGAAGGAAACTAGAGATTCTAAAATACAAAGGTGAAAAGGAAACATATTTCAGGCACAGGGGACAGACATGGTTTGTTGTGCATGAAGAAATCCAAAAGACCAGTTTGGTTGTACCACAGTGTGCATAGAGGAAAAGAATGTGCAATGACATTGAAAGGTAGCTTAGTTTTTAATGAAAGTTTTTAAATGCCGAACAAAGGATTGTTGTTATTATTATTATTATTATTATATATGTCTTTCACTGGAACTAATACAGGGCAAATAGAATTTATTGGGCAAGCTAAGCATCAGGAAATGTGAGAAATTGATCTCAACTCTTTGGGTGGCATTTTGTTCCTTGGCAAATTGATGGAATTGGTCTAGATGAGCACTTTTTAATCTTTTTGCATTATAAGCCCCTTTTGATTTTGGTGAAACCTATGGACCCCTTTTCTCTACCCACATTCACATTTGAGAAAAATATTAAAGTTTAGTTAGAGGTCAGTGAAAATAGAGATTTCATTTTTTTCCCATCCAAGTTCAGAGATTCACTAAAATCTATCCATTGCCTCCTTAGGTATTTGTGGACTCCAGGTTAAGGACTCTGTTCTAGGTGATCACTAAAATTTCTCCCAGGTCTAACATTC